GAATCACCACTCCGCCCCTCAGTCCAAGCACGTTCCAGCTGCTCTCTATAGTCGGCTGCCCGCAACCACATAGCCTCGAACTTAAAACCTTGCTGCACTGGCCGTTGTGTCCTCTGGGTGGGCTGCCCGGCAAGCTCGATCAAGATAGCATAATGATCAGACGAGGTGGTGATCACATGTTCAACAGCGCAAACATCATGCAACCTTACAAAATCTGAATTGGCCACTGCTCTATCAAGCCGGACTTTCACATGGCACTCCGGGTCTTGGCGATTACACCACGTAAACTTAGGCCCGGAGAAACCCAAATCCATCAACTCACAGTCCATGAGACAATCTCGAAAGGCTGAAATCTGAGCTTCAGATCTGTCCCGGGGACCACAATGCTCATCCTGGGATAGAACCTCATTGAAATCCCCACATACAATCCAAGGACCTTGCCATTGAGCTTTCAAACGTTTCAGCAACTCCCAGAATTGTGGCCTATCCTCTCTCTCCTCGGTTCGCCGTACACAAAGGTAGCACGCCAAGTTGAGCCCGCCTCCGAAGTAACAAGAACATCAATACATCGAGCATTGCTCCCCTTGAGAGAAACATTAACAGACGCCGTCCAAAACAGAGCCAAACCACCACTCAAGCCGTCGGAATTAACGGCCAAACACCCGGTAAAACCTAGAGACCACATAAAGTTTCTGACACGTGAATCCCTCATCTTTGCCTCAGAGAGAAAGAGGAGGGTGGGGCGGTGAAGCTTAACTAACCAGCGAAGCTCGCCAACCGTCGAGTCCGACCCCAAGCCTCGACAGTTCCAGCATAACAGACTCATTGCGTCTGGCGGCGCTGCTCCGCAGCCGCCGCCGGATCCGCCGATCGGGTAGGAGAAGTCCTTTGTTTCTTAACTGACTCAATATCTCCAATCATTTCAAGTGGAGGAGCAGCTCCAACAGAATTGCCAGATAGAACAATAGCAAGCTGATTGATTTCAGAGCAAGTAGTACCTTCAGAGAGCTGACCAGGTGTGTCTTTAGCAGTTTTGCGTTTCTGTCCGGACATACCTTTCTTTGACTTAGAGACCGGGAACAATTCCTTGCCCGAGCCCCCAATCTTCCCTCGGACACGACCACGGGCAGAACTGGCACGCCCCCTTCCACGGGATGAGCTACCACGGCCAGGACCACCCTTAGCTGGGGAGGAAACCTCTGTCTCATCGACCACATTATTCTTGGCAACATTATTGACTTGACTGCTAGGATCAGAAATTCCAGTACCAGCAGTAAAGGTCTTCTGTCCCGAGGTTCTTTGAAAAAAGCCGGACGAGGAAGAAGCAAAACTGGACTTTGAGCCCCCCGACCACTTTGGTTGATCATTAGGAACACACACTTTCATGGCAGCATAGGGGAGCTCTCCATTTTCATCACGGACGCCCGGAGTTGGGCACAACATCGACGAGTGACCTAACAGGCCACATGAAAAGCAGAGGAAAGGTAGTCGCTCGTACATGACTGAATATGTTTCGGTGCTCTTTGTTTTGGCAGATGTTACAGTAACATACCTTACCACTGGTTCCTGAACCAAAACCTCGGCCCGAACCCTCATGTCGGAGCCCCAACAACGACCATCGGCATCCGACTCCACACGCACAATCTTGCCAATCGGCTTTGCAAATTCCATACCAAGGTTGGATTTCATCAGTCTTGGAGGCAGGGCCATAATTCGTGCCCATATGGTCAGTCGATCAAAGATCATCTGAGTCGGTTGAATTTCAGCATCAAAATCCTTGAAAAGGACAGCATGGCAACCCACCATCCATGGCGAGCCTTCCAGAACACAAGCACGGCCTGCAGGGGTGGCGAACTCCGCCACAAACAGGTTATCTCCTACTGGATGGAACAACAAGCCTTGGGGATTTCCCCACGCCGGCCTCATTGCCGATGAGATGGTGTTGATGTGGAGGACGTTGGGGGAGAGCACCTTCCCCACCAGCGCACGACCCGGATCCACCTGATCTGCCTCATCTTCATCATCCACCAAGACCGGTTGCGGCCTCAATCGCCGTCAGACGGAGGCGCTCCATCTCCACCACACGAGGGGCAGAATCAGAACCAAACTCCCCGAGCACCGGGGCGGGGGTCGGCACCGGATCCCTTGTTGCAGGCGCGGGGGCGCGTCGATCCAAGGAGTCCTGGGTCCCAGCCTCTCCAGTAGCCGCCGCATCAAGGGTGGAATTCGAGCCTCGATCTGCCATTGCCAAGGGCAGGTAGCGATGCACAGATCGCCCCTTAATCGCCCCGAACAAAACAGATCTAGGTCAACCCACCACAAGGTAGCGCGGCAAGGGAGATGGAGAGGGGGAAGAAAGCAGCGAGAGAGCGACCGGAATCGCACTCCCAGACGAAGAATCCTCCCAAGGAAATCAGTAGCGGGAGCACCTTGATGTCCTAGGGGAGGGGAACAGAGCAGGAACAGAGGAACGGACCCGCCCCTCGTCCATACCTCGGCAGAAGCTACATCCATCTTGTTTGGTACACCGGCAAGCAAGCAAAAATGTAAACGAAATCACACGGTGACCTTAGAACTATTCTAACAACATGATGCTCTACAAGTTAACGCCAGTTGCATTAATTTACACAACAAGATTAGGGCATTAGTCACTTGCTGTCAGCCATGCAATGCTGGAGTAGCTCCTCTCTCTGTCTGCCATTGTGAGAGCTCCACGAATATTTGTAAACTATAGGGCCTCTCTCGCCGAGCTTCACCCTGTTTATAGGACACAAAAACAAAGTAAGCCTAACAATAAATCCAAATCCAGCTGCCATTCAAACTAATGTTGTAATTGCATAGAAATAAATACCGAGGATCATGAAATGCAATGATGTCAGAACAAGAAACGCAATTCACATGTAATTGGTATGTTTGAGCTGTGATACATGTGTACTGCAAACTGAATATTTCGCCAATCTTGATTATTACACATTCTGGGCGGCCATTTGGAAACTTATAAATTTGACATCTCCTGTCCTATCCTTGCTGGATACCGCTAGCTGTTTTCTAGCTTCATTTATCAAACTACCACATCGGCAATTGCTAGTACCAACGTACACACATAACACAAATACTTACTAATTACTGTGTGTACAAAATAACTAGATCACCCTTCATTTTTTTATAAGCTATGTTTGATCAAGAATGGGGATTAAACAGGGCACAGAACAAAAACGATGTTCAGTGAAATGACCATAGCATCCATAAATAAATATGGGAGAGAAAGAGAGTATAGAAATGAGGGAATACAAGAGAAAACATATCTAAAAGTAAAGTTACAAAAACTATATGCCTGATGTTTTAAATGAAAGGAGTATTTTCCTACAAATTGATTAGTACAGTTCTACTAGTTCCCATTATCCATTTGCTAATAAATTGATTAGCATTTTCCTACAAAAACTATCTGCAAAGGATGAATCCTTATTTCCTCCTACTTCTACTACTTCTCATTATCCATTTGCTAATTACTCCGCCGCCGTCGCTGCCGCTAATCATCGTTAATCTAGTCGATCCATATATTCTAGTACTACACCACGGTGCAACTTCCATCCACTATTTTTTCATCTCGCTACTACAGCATGCGACTGCCTAATTAACGGCTAGCCAGCAAATTTTACAGCATTGTGTGCTGTGGCCAAACATGTGGTCTGTATTCTGAATACTCCAGAAAAACTTTGTTAAGTTAAAACTATGGTATTGTGTGCCTACTGATTAAATTACTGTAGTTTTTGATACTTTGTTTTTTCTGATACTTTGCTACCAAACATAGCCTAAGTTTTTTTCCCCCGAAATAGTCGCCAAAAAATCACCATCATATATATGAAATAGCCATTGTTTCCTGAAAATTGTTATCGCGACGAACTCAATTCTTTTTTTTGCTAGTTCTGAATTTGTTTTCTAGCATGCTTGTAGTCTATAACACTGAACACCATGATCATTAGCTTTTTAACTTCTTTTCGCACAACTTACCATCTAGTGAAATGATATGGTGCAATGCACGAATCTATGACGTAGTCCTGAAACCAGTAATTGGCTACATATATGTCTAGAAAATGTAACCTGCACACGAAAGAACCTAAGCATGGATTTCATGATCTATATAACACACGTCTAACTCCACATAGCTTATCAATTTAGACCAGAACACAATCTACTACTGACAGAGAGGAACTAAATTGTTGGAATGAAATAAAAGATTGTAATGTCAGTATTAACATTGTAGTTTAGCTATGACGAAAACAACTAAATTTTGGACAGAAATCAAAATTTAATACACAATAATTCGCCTCAAGAGAGTAAATTGCTACGTAGTTATGTAAACTGACCGAGAGTAGGTGATACTGAACAGCTCCGGCGGCGAAGACGCGGTCGCTGACCATCATGATGAAAGGAGATGCATGGCGCATCAATATGCATGCCAATGGCCAAACATAACCTGACACCGAGAAACACCAGCGACACTACATGACTACACTCCGCCTTCTTTGAATCCATGACCACCCATCTCTGTGCAAAAATAAGGGTGTTCCTGATAAAAAATGTTACTTGCACGAAAGCAAGCACACAGTCAAGGATATATGGTAAATTCTGATTACCTGATTGGACAGGATGTTCAGCCTCATGACCTCTTCTATCTACAGCCTCTGCAAAAACTGAAAACCATATTAGCAACTTGGGAGGAACACAACCAGGTGAAACGTATGTGGATGTTGATTGGAAGTTTGGTGCGGAAAGCATTAGGATTGACGTTTCTCACCTCCTACCGTGCAATCCCCACCTACACACATGGAAGTAAAACCAAAATAGCCCAAACATACAAGGGCGTCTGGAGCACCATCGCCATACATGGCCTTTGTGAGCTGGAAGAATCACCCAGCCACGGCCAGGGAACCTGCCCGTGCTCATGAGATCCTGGACTGGCCGCAGCCTCTTGAATTGGATGGAACGGCGGCCAGCTCATGACTCCTATACAAAGCGCCACAAGTAGGAAGTCGAGAGCCCTACCCTCGCCGGCCTGGCGCCATCTACACAGGCCACACCGGCAGGACGAGGAAGAGGCCGAAGAGATCCCTTTATTCCGCTTCGTCCTAGCCTACCTACCACCATCAGGACCCCAAAACCTAGATCGTAGAGACCTAAAACATACCTTTGTGGACAGATCCGTGTTCCCATCAGCAAGCCGACACCTAATCAGCCACCGGAGGCGAAGGGGATCGGTGGAATCGCCGCCGAAGGACACCACGCTCCTCCGCGCTGCGGCCGCTCGCCGCCGAGACCTCCCGCCGCTACCGCCTGCAATTAGAAACGCCACGAACCCACGACTAAAAGAATAACCGTCCACGCATATACCAAAACGATAAATTACATCGGCTGAAGGTGGGAGCGGGCAAAAATTTACTTCAATGGGCGCTGGATCCTGTAAAAAAAGGTGAGCGGTGGAGGTGCTAGTGCGTCTGGCTCGGTGGATTGACCAGGATGAGAAATAACTTATTCTTTACCTGCGTTATTAATAGACTT